GGCCGCGCAGGTGCCCGCGTCTCGGCCGCCGGGGGCCCTCCCTGAGCCCGCGCTCACTGAACATCCCGGGCGGCTCCCGCTCCCGTCGCCGCCGCCCGCCGTAGGGCCTCGCCCCGCGGCCACTAGCCAGGCCTCCACGCTCCTCGCCCCGCCGCAACCGCGGCTTTCGGCGGTCGCCCCATGACCGTCTGACAGAGGGGCGCGCCGGCTGGGCCGCAGACGCCAACGCCGCGGCCAGGCGCACTCGGCGCTCGGCTGGCTGTGCCTGCGCCCGTCCCGCCCCGTGCGTCGGCGTCGGCCGGAAGCGCCGGCTCCCGCGTGCGGCGCCGAGCGGAGGAGCATCCAGGTGAGCGCCTGATTGCCGCGGTCCCCGCCGAGTGCGGGTTCTTCGGCCAGTCCCCGCCCCGAGCCCCCAGCCAAGCTGTCCTGACCCCACGGAGTCCCCCCTCCCGGGCTGTGTCGTTTCCCGACCCGAACTCCCACCCAAGCGGAAGCCTCACCTTGGGTGAGCCCCCACCTAGGCTAATGCCCCACGAGGGCGGAGTCCCCGCTAGGGCTAAGGGTCCGCCGGGAACGAGCCCCCACTCGGCCCTGGTCCCACCGCCCTACCTGGGCCGGGGCTGGGATTGTGTCGCCAGCTCCTTGCGGGTGCTTGTGCGCGGCCGCGCTGCCAACTCTGGGGTCGTCAGCGCGCAGGCGGTGGCAGCTGGGGCCCGGGCTCGCGGGCCGCTTGAAGGACCCTTGTCCTTCGCTGGGCTGCGTAGGGGGCTGCCTGCCCCGCCGAGCCTGCAGGCTCAGTGGGGGTGCACTGGGCGCGCGGGGGGCATTTCCAGAGCTTCGTGAGAGTGATGGGTACTTCTGGGATCCTTGCATGTCTCCGGCAGCTGCGGGCTGAAAGTAAATTCTGAAAGCAGGTGATACAGCCCTCAGGGCTGCGCATTCTTTTGGATTGACGAATCGACAATCACGAGACATCTCTTCGGTTCTTGCATTTTATTTTCTTTTCATTCACACTGGCTTTATTCCTATATTGAGTATTGTGAACGATTTTCTGTTTTGAACTGACATTTTAATTTTTTTGTAACGAGAACGACTCAGTGTTTTTAGATTTCTGAGAATCCCAGAGCTTTTGTCTTAGTTTGTGGAAGAGTATGTTGTCGGTGTATCGTGGTTTCCGTTATTTAGAATTTTATTTTATTTTGTTTTATTTTTTTGACAGGGTCTTACTGTGTAGTTCAGGCTGGTCTTGAACCCACTATGTAGACCAAGCTGGCTTCGAATTCAAGGCAATCCTCCGGCGTCAGCCTCCAGAGTACTGGGATTATAGGCGTGCACCACCATGCCTGGCTGAGAGCCATTCTTACGGCCATTTATTTATTTACTTTTTTGAGATTCGTAATTGGTCTGGCCTTGAACTTGAGATCTTCCTGCTTTAGCCTTCCAGGTGCTGGTATTATGGGGGTGCACCACCACACTGGCCAACAGCCCTTTACATGTTTTTAATTTTTTTCTCTTTTTTTGGCGGAACCAGGGATCGAACTCAGGCCCTTGCACTTGCCAGGGAAGCGCTTATTCCACTGAGCCATCTCCCCAGCCCCCACATGTTTTTGATAATGTTTTGGGCAGCAGTGTTTGTGGTAAATTTGTACTTGAGTAAATAATAAGATAAAGTTACAGCTGGAAGTTATTGTTGCAGCAGAAATAAAAGTATTTCTATTGGGGTTCAGTCAAACATCATTTTGTCCAAATACTGAATTGCATTTTTCATTTCTTTCAACTGTTTCAAGGAGCTAGGCCTAGTACTCAAAATCTTTTTTGGAACAGGGTCTGGCCATGTAGTTCCGGATGCTTTTCAACTCATTGTGTATCCCAGATTGGCCTCCAATTTACATCGATCACCTTGCCTCAGCCTCCCTCCACTGGGATTGCAGGTGTGTGCCACCCACATCCAGTTTATAATATGCTGTAAAAGGTATGTGCAGAAATTTTAATCTTAAACCATGTGCAGTGACCATGTTTTTCACAAGCCATCAGCTTTTTATTTTTGTGTGTGTTGGTATGGATGTTAAACTCAGAGTGCTGAACTACATTTTTATTTATTTTTAATTTATGTATTTGATACAGGGTCTCAATACACAGCTTGGTCTTGTAGTGATCCTCCTGTTTTTAGACTCCCCAGGCCTGGGAATATAGGCATGCACCACCACACCCGGATTTGGTGGGGCTCAGCACGCCCAGGGGTGGGGCAGGCGTGGCATGTAGTACCTATCAACCGGCTGTCCTTGTGTTTGCCTAAGCAGGTACTTAGTCTGCTGAGGTATCTCCCTGGATTTTTTTTTTTTTAATTTTTTTGTTTTATTTTTTAAGCAGAATAAAAAATAGTAAAAATAAGTAAAATCTATATGGAATCTCAGTAAATAAAATAAGGATTCAACAATACCTGTTCTGTTGCATAATGTCTTCAAATTAGTTGTGTAAGTTACCAGACATAAGCATGCAAAATTGGCAGAAAAAAAGTTGTAAGAACTTAAAAAGGAGAAGAAAAATAATTTTTTAAGTATTAACTGTTCCTTTCAATAGAACTGCAGAAATCAGCAGTACAATTATCCAAACTATCCTGTGTATATATAAGTAAATATATTTTTCCCTTGCTTTTATTTATTTTTTAATTGGACAAGGTCTTGCTAAATTGTGTAGGCTGGGCTCAGACTGTTATCCTCTTACCTTAGCTTCTGAGAATGGTAGGATTATTCTTATTGGGGCTGGCTCTGCATGTTAATTTTATCTTGTTGGGTTCTTGAACACCCAACTCTGTAGATGGGATGTATAATTACAGCTGGAATACTTGCAATTTGTCTTCTGTCTGCTGTTGTCTGAATTAATTTTCCCTGAATTTATTGTACTTTTTTATTATTTTTAGGCTCCGAATGCCTTCAGGGCAGGTTTGGCTGGCTTGAGTTATGGGGATTGAACCACAGCAACCTGAGCCTCACTGCTTTGTTGAAGCAGCCACTTAAAGAACTGAGCTAAGGGGCAGGCCCCATGTACTTTTTAATTTTTAAGAAATGAAAAAAAAAATCTATCTATCTGTCTATTTGGTGCAGGACCCCACTCTGACTTGTAGTGATCCATCTGTCTCATCCTCCCCAGTGCTGGGATTATGGCACTTTGCGTTGGGGGTTCGGGACTGGCACAGCATACTATACTGAGGGATCAAACCTTGCATTTGCCAGGCAGGTGCTTAGACCGCTGGGATATCTCCCCAACCCCCAATTTTTTTTTTTTTTTTTTTAACAGCGATTTGCTGTGTAGCCCAGGTTGGCATTGAAATTCCAAGGATCTTCCTGTCTCAGACTCCTGAGTTGCTGGGGATTATAGGCATGTACCACAACACTTGGATTTTGTCAGAGTTTACCCCAGAGAATTCATTAGCCAAGGGTCTTGTTGCAAACCTGTACCCAACACTTTTTTTTTCTTTTCTTTTTCTTTCTTTTTTTTTTTTTTTGGTGGAACCAGGGTTTGAACTCAGGCCCTTGCACTTGCCAGGGAAGTATTTATTCCACTGAGCCATCTCACCGGTCCCAACCATTTTGCCATTTTTTTTTTTTTTTTTTAATGTTTTTAGTACAGGAAATACAGAGTCTCGCTACAGGAGGATCTAGATTTTATGTGGATCGAACTAGTATTTTTTGTTTTTAATTTTTATTTTTTAATTAAATTTTTTATTTGTGTATTTGGTATAGGGTCTCACCACACAGATCGGACTCCTGGTGATCCTCCTGTTTTTAGCCTCCTCATGGCTGGGATTACAGGCTTGCACCACCACACCTGGACTCTGTCAACAGCTCAGCATGCTTTGGGGGCAGGGCTGGCACCTGGTGCTGCATGCAGGACCTAAGATCAGTCCTTGGTCCCTGCACTTGGCAAAGCACGTGCTTAGTCTTCTGAGCTATCTCGCTGGCCTCTTTTTTATTAATTTTTTTGAAATTATTTTTTATTTTTTAAAGAGAATAGTGAAGAAAAAAACATTAAAAATGATACAGAATTTCACTAAACAAAATGATAATGAATTCAGTAATGGTTATGTTGCATGTTGTTCCCTTCAAATTTATTGTTCAGATTACCAAATATAAGCATGCAAAATTGGTCAAAAAATTAAAGAGAAGAAAAGATACATATTGAATCTTTATCCATGTGTCTGTCTGAGCAGACAAGATGATTGAGAATCACTATGAATCACTGAGTCCGATCTGTGTAGTGAGACCCTGTAGACCCTGTACCAAACACATAAAGAAAAAAGTTACTTTGAGTACAGTATATCAGCATTTAATTGTCCAAACTATCTTTTTGAACACAAGTCTATCTTTTTAATGAACTGAGATACTAGTAATATAACTATTTTTACTATCTTGTGTGTGAGAGTGTATCTGTGTATATGTATATATACATTTTTTTTTTCTCATTTTTAATTGTAGATCAAGTGTAGCAATGGCTGCTGTTTATTCTGGTATTTCCCTTAAACTTAAAAGCAAGACAACTTCCTGGGAAGATAAATTAAAACTAGCTCACTTTGCTTGGATTTCCCACCAGTGCTTTCTTCCAAATAAAGAACAAGTAAGTTGAATGTAAAACTTACATATTTATAGTTTAGAATAATCACCTGTTCAAATTGCATATTAATATTTACTTGAAGATTCAAAAAGGGCTCAGAGGACATTTCACTGGACATTAGCAACGAAGGTCAGTGAAAAAAGTAGTGAGCCAGATCCTTTAGTTTGATTGGTTGAAGGCTGGGAAGCAGAGGTGTGTATTTGTGTTAAGTCGTGTTAGAAATTGTTGGTACCAAGAAGGATATGATATAACTCTGAATATTTCTCAGGATTATTAGACTAAAAAAACATAGTTAATGCAACAAGCATGAGGCTGTAAATGAACTTGGATCGACATCCCGATGTTGGTGTTAAAGGTGGCAGGACAAAATGTATAAAAGATGGTTGGGCATGGGAATGCACACCTCTAATCCCAGTACTCAGGAAGCTGAGGCAGGAAGGTTACTGTGAGTTTGAGGCCAGTCTTGACTATATAGCGAGGCCATGTCTTCCCCCCCAAAAAAAGTGTCAAAGATGGATTATACTTACAAAAGTAGTGATGAGGGGTAGTGTGTAGTGTAGCTATTGCTTTAGTAGGGCCTGTACTTGGCTGCACATGGGAGTCATCCTGGCAGCTTGATAGTCCCTTACTATAATGTCACTATAAGCCTGAGATGGGGGCTGGGGAGATGGCTCAGTGGAATAAGCACTTCCTTGGCGAGTGCAAGGGCCTGAGTTCAATCCCTGGTTCTGCAAAAAAAAAAAAAAGCCCGAAATGGAGTGGGTAGGCAGTTTGGCCAAGATAGATGCTGCTCTTACCCTAAAGTTCTTTCCTTCTAGCACCTAGCACTCTTCATATTGTTACTAGCAGTTCTGATGGGAGAACCAAGGCCTCTCTCCTTTATGTTTTGTGCACAAAGAAGCAGGTCACAGTAAAGGAAACCTCACATACACTGCCTCCTGCTCACAAAGCACTCATTACTTCACAGGACTCTGTCTCCTGGGTGAGATATAACTGCCCATAACATGAGGATGTCCGTACACAGCTCTCACAGTGTTTTCGCTTTGCTTATGTGATTCATTCTGTGGTTAGTCTGGGCAGCTGCCTTTTTTTTTTTTTGGTCTTTTTGAGACAGGGTTTCTCTATAGTGGTCAAGCTGACAGGTTGGCCTTGAACTCTCAGCAATCCTCCTGCTTCAGGCATGTGCCACTGCTGGGATTACAGGTGCAATTATGTCTACCCCCCCCCATTCTTTAATAACAAACATTTTAAGATACCAGAACAGTTATCAAATATAGTACTACTATAGGTGAGTTTTAAAGCAGTTTTTTCTTCCATTGTAGTTGAATTTGGTAATGACTGGGTGTTCCTATAATGTCCAACATCTTTCTCACTTGTTTTTTTTTGTATTTTTTTTTTTTTTTTAAGGAAGGGTCTACAGAGTGTCAGGGTCTCACTACTAGATCGGACTTGTAGCGATCCACCTGTTTACAGCCTCCCAAGAGCTGGGATTACAGGCACACGCCACCACGCCCAGTCTCAGCAGGCCCAGGGGCAGGGCAGGACTGGGGATCCCTGGCCCCTGTGCCTGCTTGTAAGCGCTTTAATCCACTGAGCTGTTTTGCCGGTCCTATCTTTCTCACTTATAAAAAATTTATTTTCAGAGTGTATTTCCTCCAAATTCAGGTTTTACTTGATTGGGCAAGACAATCACTGGTTGCATTTTATAAGAAAAAGCTTGAACTGAAGGAAGATATTGTTGAAAGGCTTTGGATCTATGTAGACAGCATTCTACATAGCAGGAAATTGCAGAATCTCCTCAAGAATGGAAAGACAATTAACCTTCAGATTTCTCTTGTCAAGGTAAGTGGTAGTCGCTTCTGCTGTCCTGTGTTACCTGTGTCTCTGTTAGTGTCCTGTTGCTTGTTGGAGCTTTTTTAAAGGTTCAGTTGTACAAAGATGCAAGAAGTACCAGGTAGAGGAGGAAAAGGACATAGTAATATTAGCAGAATGATCATAAATGACATTTAAAAAAATTTTTTTTGTGGAACTGGGGATTAAAGTCAGGTCCTTGCACTTGCCAGGCAAGTGCTTATTCTACTGAGCTATCTCCCAGCCCCCATGAACAAGTTTTGATTATCCTTTTTTTTTTTTTTTTTGACGGAACCAGGGATTGAACTCAGGGCCTTGCGCTTGCCAGGGAAGCGCTTATTCTACTAAGCCATCTCCCTGGCCCCCTTTTTGTTGTTTTATGGTAATGGAGGTTATATATGCCTAGGTAAGCATTCTACCACTGAGCTATATTCCAAGCCTTATTTTATTTTATTTTGAGACAGGGTCTTATGAAGTTGCCCAGGTTGGCTTCACATTCCTGATCTTCCTGTCTCAACCTTCTGAGTAGCTAGGATTACAGGCACGCACCACCAGTTTGATTACCTCTTTAACTGGCAAAGGTAGTCAGCAATTTATGCAATATTGTTTTGTTGTTGTTGTTGTTGTTGAGGATTTCTTTTGGTCTTGAGGGCGATCAAAAGGAGAACTGATAGAAATTTTATCAAAGGTTTTGACTGAAAGTGATTTTGAAATCTCTTAGAAGTATGACGTGGTTCTCTTCCTCATCCTCTTCTTCCTTTTCCTTCTTCAACTCTCCTTATGATGTCCTCCTACCATAGCCTCATAAGTGGTGGGATAATAGGTATGTGCCACCATGCCTAACTGAACTTCATTTTCAAAGCAGTATTTTGAAATACCATGAGAGCAGTTAATTGCAATAAAAGTAACTATTAACAAGCTCATAGTATGTGACAGGCCAACTAGATTAAGTAACTTGCCTGCAGTCACATGAACAGAGTTTAAAGCATGGCTGTCACACCAACCACAGGGCTGACTTCATGGTTGTATGGGCAGAGGAAGAGAGGTGATTGCAGATGGTTCTTGAGAGCCCTGAACAAAGTGCAAGTGCCTAAGTTCAATCCCTGGCTCACACAAAAAAAAAAAAAAAAAAAAAAAAAAAAAAAAGGTGTGAGAGGAAAATACATCTCTGGTCATACTTTCTAAATATTTCTTTCTTTAAGATGGGGTCTCGGGCTGGAGAGATGGCTCAGTGGTCTAAAGCGCCTACTTGAAACAAGCTTGGCAAAGCACAGGGACCTCGGTTCGATCCTCCAGCACCACATGCCAGCCAGCTCCGCCCCCTGGTGGGCTGAGCTGCCCTCCACACACACAATAAATAAATGTAATAAATAAAAATAAAATAAAATAATTTAAAAAAAAAAAAAAAAAAAAAAAGATGGGGTCTCACTTTGCAGTTCAGGATGACTTTGAGCACACTTTGAAGCCCAGGCTAGTCTCAAAACTTGCAATGAGGGCAGGAATATAGCTCAGTGGCATAAGTCCCTGCCTGACAAATGCAAGGTCCTGAGTTCAATCCCTGGTACTGGAAAACTTGCAATGGTCTTCCTGCTTCAACCTCCTGGGTGCTGAGTTTTGTGTGTTTATAATTACATATAATTATAGTATACATAAATAGTTGTAAATAAATTATAGTTCTGGGTGTAAATATGGAAAATATTTTTATTTATGAAATATAATGAAAAATCTGGAGCCCACTGGTGACACATTGACATCCAAGGACATAATATGTTTACTGCAGTTTCCACTGTGACTTTTAAGGTCCTAACCAGCACCTAGTTCAGTGGAAATAACAATGGCTGTCTCATTGGGCTACTGATGATACTTAGCATCCTGGGCTAGTTTCTGTTCTCAGATGCCATAAGGCTGAGAACAAGTCACTCATATTCTAATGAATTTTGGGAATGTGCCTGGCTCTCATTTTTAGTGTCTGTAAATTTTGGAATTTTGAGAACAGAAGACAGTGGGTATGTGTACAATAAATAAGTAATAGGCACCATTTGCTTTCCTTTTTATAGAGTGCATTTTTTTAAAATAGAAAAAGTATGTTGGGTTATGAAAATGTGTGTTGGACCTCAGGATCATGACCCAAGTGCCCCTGCCTACCCATCTGGTAACTCCTGAGTTTAGTTACAGATTTAAACCTTACGAAACCTGGCATTTTTTCTTTTTTTTTGAATTTCATTTGTGTGTGTGTGTGTGTGTGTGTGTCTGTCTGTCTGTCTGTCTGTCTGTGGCCAGCTCAGCCCACCAGGGGGCGGGGCTGGCTGGTATGTGGTGCTGGGGGATTGAACCGCGGTCCCTGTGCTCTGCTAAGCTTGTTCTAAGTAGTTGCCCTAGACCACTGAGCCATCTCACCAGCCCCTTTCTTTTTTTTTTGAGACAGGGTCTCACTGTGTAATTCAGGCAACTGGCTATGTAGCTGAGGCTGGTTTTGAACTTGAGTGATCCTCCTGCCTGAGCCCCCCAAGTGCTGGTGAAGATGCTGGCTTTTTTTTTATTATTAAGCCTGGCTTCTAAAAAATGAATACCGAATTTACTAAGGCACTAATTCTTTGCAAAATTGGTATTAATAGGAGACAGTTGTGTGAAGGAATTAAAAACAAGCACTTACCTTTTAATATACTACATGCCATATAGATATAATAATCTAGGTGTTTCTCAATGCAGGAGAGGAGCAAGTTGATCAATTCTATAGTAGTTTGTTGTGTATGAGTGGGTTTGGTGCAATGATGAATTTTCTTTTTTCCTTAACCCTTAGATGATAAATGAGAGAATATCTGAATTCTCTCTCTCTGGATCTGAAAGGAACATGTATGCTGTCCTGAATTGCTGTCAGGGCATCCTCTCAACACCTGCTCTTGTTGTCATCTACATGGCCAAACAGGAGCTGCTGGTGGCTTTGCTGAATCACCTTTGCTGGTCAGCCTGCAGGCAGCCAGAAAGTGCAATGACAGCTCAGCTCTTTGAGGTTATTCACCTGGCCCTTAGCCATTATCTCTCTATCCAGCAACAGCAAGCCAACCCGCGGCGTGTCTTTGTGGATGTGACTGGGCACCTGCTGCAGCCTTGCCTGGTCCTGAGGCACTTGCTCTCTGGGGGCACATGGACACAGGGCCAGCTGCGGCAAGCACTAAGCCGGGAGGTCAGGAGTCAGATTGAGGCCATGCTTCGAGGTGGAGTTTTTCGGCCAGATCTGCTTTCATCCTATAAAGAAGAGCTCTTGGACCAGCAGCAAAGTGACTCAAAGATGGGAACCATGAAGAGTCTTCTTACTCCTCTGGACACTGTGATTACCAGACTGCTAGGAGCTGATTTCTGCGAGCCATGCCTTCATGCTTCTGTAGTGGCCAGCTCAGTGGCCCTGCTGTATAAACTCTTCTTGGATTCTTACCTCAAGGAAGGAAACCAGTTTCTCTGTTTCCAGGCTCTCCCTAGGCTGTTTGGCTGTCTGCGAATTTTACACCTGCAAGAGGAGCAGCTGAAAGCCCTGTCCACATCAGATTGGACCACAGAGCTCCTGGTTGTGGAGCAGCTGCTAAACTTAGTGGCTAGCAACAATATCTACAATGTGGCTGCTGACAGGATCCGGCATGAAGGGGCACAGTTCCACTTCTACAAGCGATTGGCTGAGCTGCTGATAAACCACTCACAGGCACTTGTGCCAGCCTGGTTCCGCTGCCTTAAGATTTTGATGTCTCTAAATCATTTGATTCTGGAGCCAGACCTGGATGACCTATTGTCTTCAGCTTGGATTGATGCAGAAGTAACAGAGTTTCGAACCAAGAAAGCCCAGGAAGTGCTTATTGACACCCTCTTTCAGACGTATGCCAAACTCCGACAGGTACCACGGTTGTTTGAGGAAGTTTTGGGAGTGATCTGCCGTCCCGCTGCTGAGACACTGAGGCAGCCTGTGCTGACTTCGGGCCCCTCAACAGTGCTCTATGCCTGCCTCCTGGAGCTGCCACCAAATCAGATCCTGGACACATGGTCCCTTGTGCTGGAGAAGTTCCAGTCTGTAGTCCTGCCCTGCTTAGAGGGTGATGTTGACATGGCCCTCAAGTCTCGCTCCCTGAGCTCACTACTGCACTGTATCATGTTCAACATGCGGAGTCTAGACAGCAATACGCCCCTGCCCATCATCAGGCGGACGCAGTGTGTGATGGAGAAAATGTTGGGTGATCTTGTGAAGCCCTTGCTGGCCCTTCTCCCTGGCTCCCTGGGCCCAGAGCCTGAGCTGTGGGTGCAGAAGGTGAGTGACTCTGCACTTCTACTCTCCTACACCTGGGTGGAGGTGGACTCCATGCTCAGTTTGAACTGTGGCCAGTATCACTCTGTGACTGAGGACCTGACCGAAAATGCTCTGACAGTCTTAAACCTCCCTCCATTGCTCCCAGGTTTGGAAGCACGGTATTGGAAGAAGGTCAAGAACTTTGTAGCTCAGTCTAATTCTTTCAGTCAGTATTGTTTAAAACAGCTCTACCTGCAGAAAATGAAAAGGACTTTACTACAAGCTAGTCCCCTATCTGAAGAAGTCCTTCATACTTTGCGATATGATGCTGCCTACATCCTTGGTTCCGCCACAGAGAGCTTGAGTCAGGACACAGTGGCTTCCTGGGATGGGCAAGTGGGGACAGTGTGTACATCCACATACCCTGTGGCTTACTGGCACTTGATTGTATCCAACCTCCCGATTTTAATACCGTACGTATGTCTGGAAGATGTAAGGTATATGGCTAGTATCCTGTTAAGAACTTTATCAGTGAGCAAAGCCCAGGAAAACTCAGCAGATGAAGAACCATATATCACACTTCAGAAGATTTCCACAGCCCTTCTTCATAGCCCACTCTTTCCAGAGATGCAGTCCCTCCATTCTGCCTTCCTGGTATGTTTAGTTGCAAGATGTTCTAGCATTCTGTGCTCTGGTGACCAGGGTCTTCTCAGTCAACAGTTGCCATGGCTCTTTGAAAAGGACAATACAGTTATGGTTCACTGGGAAACTAGATTTGCGAAAGTTGTACCTGAAGGTGTAGAACCAAGAGGAGAAATTGCCCAGAGCTTACTCTCCCTGGTCAACAGTGACCTCCTTATCCATTTGGAGCAAGAGCAGCTAGAAAGCCTCCTGAGCCTTTTACAAATCATTTCTGCTTTATACCTGGACAGCCTCTCAGCACCATACCACGTGCATTATTTTCTCTTGTTGTTGTCTATGGCTGTTACAACAGTGGGGTGTTCCTGCCCCTCCTTGGACCTCCAGTTTTTGGTGACATGCTACCAGCTTCTTGGCCGTCTACAGAGGGGAAGGAGTGCCTGCTCTGTGTTCAGGGTCCTGTACGTTAGTGATGTATTTGAGATTGTGATGACATCCCTGTTACAAGCCAGTGGCAGACTCTTTGTCGACGTAGATGATCCCGTGTGGCTGCATCTCCTCCAGGCGGTGGGGGCATTTTTGGAGCAGCTGATGCAGATGCTCATCCAGCTAAAGCTGAGTGTGGTGCTCAATTTTGGGAAAATCACTGCCTTCCTCTCAAGGTGCAAATTATACACTGAGGCAGCTTCCACTAAACAGTTGGAAAACCAGATTCCTCTGGGCAACCAGCTGCTTCTGGTGTCCCTAACCAAACTGTGCCAAGTTCTGGGGCATTTTGTCAGAGAGCGGAGACAGCCACAGGAGGCACCAGCAGCACTGCCTGAGCTGCTGCAGCAGGCTTTGCTGCAGATGGGCGCTGCACTGCAGCTGTGTTTCACATCAGGGGCTGGAGGCTGCTGCCTGCCCTCCCCTGCCCTCTCAGCCATTACCACACTCTTGGAAGTAGACCTCAGTCGGCACTGCTGGGATAGAATGGCTGAGACAGACAGAATACTGCGCTCCCATGTGGCCCTCTACCAGGATGTCTATACCCAGCTGCTGTCTGAGTTGCCAGCCCTTGCAGGGAATGCTCAATCTTTCCAGACTGCTTTGCGGTTTCTAACTTTGTTTTTTTCAGCCCCAGAGCTCCATCCCAAGAAGGGCTCTGTGTTCACCTCCATGTTTCACTCTGTGAGAAGAGTTATTGCAGGTAAGATGTTTCCTAAGCTAATTCTGAGCTGCAAGGCTTAGGTCAATGCAGTTGCAGTGCTAGCACATTGAGTTACCATGTCTTGCCTTCTGGATAAGAAGTGAGGCCTAGCATGTAACATTTGGTGGCACACCAGGACATTGGGAAGCTTGCCCTCCAGTCTTTGTGCTGGAACTTCATATTCTGTCTACATCCTGAGCACATGTGAATAATCATCCTTGCATTTCTCTGGATTTACCCTGCTGCAGCTTCTAGGCACATTTTGGGCTCTTCACAGCTCACCTGTTCTGCAGAGTGTCCTGTTTCAAGCAAAACCCGCTGTCTTCTGTCTCTTGACATTAGTTTGCTTTGGCCTTAGACAGTTCTTATAAGTAGTCTCAGCCCCTATAGGCCCTTCTGGCTCAGGTCTTCAGAGACACAGGTTGCTGTGCAGTCATGGAAATGATAATTATCAAAATTGTTCAGCAGTGTTTAAAAAAATTAGTGTTAGGTAAAATCTACAATGTAAATTCTGCGTGTGTTTGTGTAGCTGTGGGTGTGGGTGTGGTACTAGGAATTGAACCCAGGACCTTAACAGTGAATGATATTCCTTTTAATTTTATTATGTGAGATAGGATCTCGCTCAGTCACTAACTTGTCGAGGTTGGGCTTGACCATGTGATCCTCCAGCTTCAGCGTTGTAGAGTGCTAGGATTACAGGTGTATGCCACCATGCTCAACTTACAATACAAAATGTTAAATATGCCATGGTTATAAATAAGTAAAATATGCATGCATATGTACAAATACATGCAGAAATTAAAATGGTTGTATTAAAATGTTATAATTTTGCTATTGTTGAAATATGTATGTATATATATATATATATTATACTCATATATGTATATATCATCTTCCACTGCAATTCAGGCAAGCCTTGAGCTTGAGGCAATCCTCCTGCCTCAGCCTCCCAAACGCTCTAATTGCAGGTGTGTGTCACCATCCTCCACTATTTTATACCATTTTAATAGTATAAAATACCAATTTTATAATAGTATAAAATTATGTTATACAAGTATAAAATTAATACTGTAATACTTTTTATGACTTAATTAAATTTAAAATAAGCCGAGGTTAGGTCAGTATTTTTGAATGCTTGTCCAGAGCCTTTTTAATTAATGACTGTGTTTAAGAATATAATAAAAAAACATTAAGAACTATTGTTCACACTTTTACTACCTTCCAAAGGAGACAAAGCTGAATGGAGCTGATGTCTTCTTTAAGACAGTACACACCATGGGTGGCAGAGGGCATTCTGTTTAGTTTTAGGGGTTCCTAAGAGAGGTTGGAGTAAGAGTCAAGACAGACCCTGAGGAGGTCAGGCTGGGGAGTCATCCAGCCAAGCCTGACCCTCAGAGGACATGCCAAGCTCCACTTTCCACAGAGCAGTCCTGAGGGTTAGTGGCCCTTGAGGAAGTAGAGCCACTTCATCTGATTGGGCCAGTGCCAGACCTGAGTGTGTAGCCTGAAGAAGGCTGTGCTGTCTCCCTGTCCATGATGTTCTAGCTTATGCTGTTAGTGACTTTCAGGGAGTAGTGCTTCTTTCCTACTGGGGGCTGAAGCTGAGTCTCTTATTCAGACTGGTACAGTGTTTGAAGTGACCATCTTTTGCAATAGCAGCTGGTGGTTTGAAGCTCTGGCTGCTTTGCCCCTTTTTTAAAGAATGCTATGTCCCCCTCCCTGCCAGCTCTGGAGTGCTGTGGCAGTCCTAAACCCTGACTCTGATCCCAGGCACAGAGCCTTTGTCACAGGGATGCCATTGTGCTGCCATACCCCATGGTCTAGCCCTCCTTTTGTCTGGATTGGGTTCTGTTGGCTTCTGTCTAGCTCTTTGGTGTCCTGGCCAAGACATACAGAAAAAGGCATCAAAGATGCGCATTTATTAAAGATGGAAAAGAGGTACACTTTATGAGAGTGGGTGGGGAAAAGGCCCACAGTAGTCCCAAGGATAAAAGGAAAGGGATCTTTTGTATCCAAAATACCTGGATTGACTTTTCCCTTCAAGTAAGGGGTTGGGACACTTGCCCTTTTAAAAACTCAGGTGGCCTTAACCAGGAATGGTATAATTGCAGTATTCAGGTGGCTAAGCAGAAGGATCTCTGGGAGTTTGAGACCAGCCTGGGCAATATAGCAAGATTCTGTCTCAAAACAAACTCAGTTGGCTTTATGCCAGATATAAACTGTCCTATTCAGAAATTTGACTTCTTCCCAGATATAAATGAAAGTCAGTAACGCATCATTTGATTAGCTGTGCACAAGGCAAATGAATTGAAAATAGCACTTTTCTGGTTGGTCCAAATACCCAGGAGCTGTAAGACCGGTTTCAGTTTGGGTCCTGTGTTCTCTGCATGTCCTTTTTTAAGGAATTATAGCCAAGTGTGGTGGTGCATACCTGTAATCCCAGCACTCAGAAGGCAGAGGCAGGAGGATCGCAGTGAGTTTGAGGCCAGCTGCTACCAAGTTGCTTGTGTGCTTTGACTAATGCAATCTACCTCCCTTTCACACCTAAACCATCAGATCTGTACAGGGATGTACTGAGAGATGGGCAGTGTGGAGTAGATGCCCAGTGAGGAGTAGCCCAAGCCATGGGGGTGGGGAGGATGTAAAAGGTAGCCTGGAAGAACCAAGTGGTGGCCACATAGGTGACTTGTAGAGGTTGCTGTTACCTAAGGTGATGCAAAAGTGGGTTTTAGCTTGCCAGCATGAGCTGCTGTGAAGAAAGCTTTCTGACACTGGGACAGACACCTCTGTTGGCACAGAGGCCAGTGTTTGTAACACTGCCTATCTGTATATAGCACTGTCTCTTCCTTGGAGGACTGAGCAGCTGACTGGGCCTAGTTAAGTAATAGACATCTATGCAGATGGTAGGGAGTGGCCATGGGATGCTAGAAATCACTGAGGATGTGGGACTGGGTTGAGAGGTGTGTGCAGGCCAAGTTGTGTGACTGCGAAGATGGTACTGGGGAGCTGTCCATGAGAAGGCTTTCCTTGTATGCTCTGTCCTTGTTTGCCAATCTTAGGAGTTGGTTCTGTTGAGGCCAAAAGAGTCCGAGAGTCTAGGGCCTTATACATGTGGGAGACTCATTCCTACCCTTCATCTCTCAGAGCTTCTGGCCTCTGCCCCAATGTCATACTTGAAAGTAGTGAGCACTCACAGGAAGTGGAAGGTACTGTGCATAGAGTGAACCACGATGGAAGGTAACTGGGTTCAGTGGTAGGCCGTGGATGCCCTGGCTTTAGGCTTTATGATAAGACCATGGCCAGAATACTGAGGGTGTTGGGAAACGTGATTCTACAGACAGGCCTGAAAAGTACAGGGTGGTTTTAAGTACCCCTCTAGATTCTATAAAGGAAATAGGTGCAAAGTTGCAGTCACACGTCTGTATGGTCCAGAGCTTGCCGTTCTTAAGCATCTGTGCATGCATGTGTGCATTGCATGTGTGTGCACATTACAGGTGTGTATGTGCCATCCACAGATGCAGATGTGTGTGTGTGCAGATGCATAGCACATGCCTTAAGTGTATATCCTACTTTTTCACATAGTCCTCAAGATCCACTTTTGTGTTTATCTTAAGGTTATGCTGGCTCTTTATTTAAAAAATATTTTATTGGCACATTTTAGGTATACATAAAGATAATATTCACCATAGGGAGTTTGTATGTGTATATGATACATCTTGCTGCTTTTTTTTTTTTAACCTGTTTCCTTCCCCTCCCTTCAACACTTCTTCCTCTCATTTATTTTATTTATTTATTTTTTATGAGCAGAATATATTTATTGTGGGAAAGAAAGCTCCTGTCCCGACAGAAGGACAGGAAGGACACCCGAGCGGGTAGTTCCCCGGGAAGCTGTCTCTTCCAGGGACTTTTATAGTGTAAAACCATGTGCGGCTAAGGTAGAGAGAATGGGAACTCGCTTAGGTGGGCAGGAGGTGGGACAAAACTATGGTCAACCAATGGGATTACATATGGGACAGGGTCTTTTCCTGTTGGGGGTTGGAATGCAAGATAGGGTCTCTTTCTGTTGGGGGTTGGGCTAGTGACTCACTTGGGTCTTTCCAGGTGATTGATACCTATTTAGAATATCAGTCCCAGGTGCTACTTTTTTAGCATTTGTTTGGTCTTTAGGTCTTTAGGCCTGGTTCACAGCAAGAGCATCCGCCCCCCCCACAGTTGTAAGGCATCTCCTGTGCTGTCTTCTTCGAGGGCCTGGCCCTGTCTGACTGCCTATAATATTTTTATCTAACTCGGCTGCCTGCAATATTCCCCCCTCTGAAGAAGTAACCTGAACTGCCGTGAAGGGAAATATGGGCGAAGACTGCTCTGGCTTCTTCACGCTGAAATGGGTCATTGTTGACTGGCAGTCAGATATATTCTTCAGAGGTTTTATCTAAAGGCCCTCAATAGATGACAGGCAGTTTTCTCTTGGGTAGACGTATAGCTTTGAGTCATTTTCCTTTTTACATCATCTTTCCAGTTATAAACTAGCATCACAGTTGATATTTTCCTCTTCATTTTATTTAAACGGCTCTTTTTAACATGTAAGGATCAAACATCTTCCGGTGCCTGATGAAGCACACTCTTTTTTTCTAATTGATTCCTCCACCCAGGCATCCCTGAGTAGCTCTCTCCAGAGCAGGTGGATGCTCCTGTTGGAGAGAAGGGAGACAAGATCCCACCAGCTTATCCACCCTCGAACTGGCGCATGATTCCTATCTCCTGAAACATCTCACAGACCCTTTACTTACTCTTACTGAATCTGTGTAAGTTACAATTGGTCTGGTGACCTGAATGTCTACAGAAGGAAGCATTAGCTGTGGCATAAAAGGTCAGAAGTGAGCACTTCTCAGGTTACAAAGATCACTTTAGAGATAGAACCATTGACTGGAGAGATTTGGCCCCGTGCACTGAACCAATCTCCAGACACTTGATTTCCATCTGATCACCTAGGTAAACATTTCTAGCAACTAAACAAGATTTAACCTTGAAGCTCACAGGTGAAACTTATATTTATCATCTAGCAATCACATTTTACATGTTGGTAAGGACAATATAGCTGGCAAAAATCTTACTCTTAGTTAACACATAGAGCACAGATGTAAACTTCCCCTGATAACCACTATTGTAAACTGTCTCAGCCTTATTTCTGAGATAGTGACCCATTAACTTGTTCTACTGAAAAGCTCAGGTAGAAGTCCTACTTTACTAGCAGAGAGAGAAAGTACAATAGGTAAGTGAAGATCTTTCAGTGGTCAAGATCCAGTTTCCACCAAGGAACCTTCAGGTTTGGCGCCTTCTCCCCTCAGGCATTCTTGGTTTCTTTTGGCCCACAAAACCAGAGATGTCTCCAGAAAGGAATCCAGCAGTTTCTTTGGTCAACATTCCATCAGCCATAGGCTTCAATGGGGATTCACCGAAGAACAGCTGGGGAAACCTGTCCTCTGCTTCAAAGAGTGGCAGCTGCTCTAAGAGCATTTACTAGCTGGCAGAGTAACCACTGTTTGTCCAAGTTCTATAAGGGATAGTTAAAAGCCTGAACAAGATTACCTAGTACTTTACATTAAAGGCTTTAAAGTCCACAACTTATCTCTTATGCACCTAAATGATAACTAGACCTAGGAGAAAAGATTGAATCCTCCCTCACACTAAATGTGTTTTGGTCCCATAAGTGTGCTGCTTTTGGAGATAGCTCCTTCTGGTGAAGTCGGTTCTCTCCACCGTGTCTGAGGTTTAGCCTCCCGAAGGAGACCTGTCCAGAACAGTAAGCCGGGACATGGCTTTTATATGTGTCCTCCTGGACGGGCATAGTCCTCTTTGTCTCATCTGACCCAGAGACGGGGTATGTGTCCTTTTTCTAAAATGACTTTTCTGTCTTCATCATTAACAAACACTCATTTTCTTTTTTTTTTTTTAATTTTTATTTATTTATTTGTGTGTGTGTGTGTGGCCAGCTCAGCCCACCAGGGGGCGGGGCTGGCTGACATGTGGTGCTGGGGGATTGAACCGTGGTCCCTGTGCTTTGCTAAGGTTGTTCTAAGTAGTGCTTTAGACCACTGAGCCATCTCACCAGCCCCCAAAACACTCATTTTCTAAGGGCTTCACTTAGTTGGAATGGTCAGAGTTTTCCTAATTTTATATGCCTCTAAAAAGGAAAGTACAAAGAGGTGGGGAAATTAGGAGTAAAGTCAAAGCAAGGAAACTGAAACACATCAGGCCTGACATTCCCTCTAGCATGTAGAGGGGGATCAGAACGAGTCTATCCCAGTGAAACCTGTCCTCCAAGTCTTTAAGAACGGTTGCCGACTTAATGTCATTTAACTGGCAAAAGGAGTCCTGTGTTTCATATACAGGCATGTATATTTTTTAAGTCCGAGCTGGCTAAAAGTCCCATTTTACAAAAGTTTACATAAAATCCACTAGGAGACTTGCTAATGTTACTCTTTCTAGCGCTATTGTCTAAATTCAAGCAAGGAATACCAGTATATTTAGGAATACCAGTTCAAATGCAACATATAGAAGTGCAAAATAGTCATAAGATGTCCCATGGACTTAAAGAAATCCAAACTTGTAACATTTTCATATTTTAACTTAGATTTACCGACAACATTTTGACCAACATTTTACCAACAATATAAGAGAGAAAACAAGCAATTATAAGCAATTTTAACAGTACTATGTGAAGCAAAACTGTGAGGCAAGGCGTGAACAATTATGAGCAATGGACAAAGACATATTAACATTTGAAGCATAAATTTGTTACCTAAGCAAGTCCCAATTCAGAATTTATGAAAGAAAAGCAAACTCATACCTCCGTCCAATGATCTAGGTGGGAAACTCCAAAATGATACAGAGAGAAAAACTGGTCTCTGGTGGGTGACCTCTAAACCATATAGGGAACCTCCAAATGACATAGAGAAAAACAGTCTCCCGACCTGACATGCACGAGTTTGTGTTCTCTAAAACCGAAGAATGAATTTTAGGAACAAATGGAGGTTATGAGCAGAATATATTTATTGAGAGAAAGAAAACTGTCCAAGAGAGGGATGGGAGGGGGGCCCGAGCGGGTAGTTCCCCTCTTTCTCTCATACAAAAGCTTTGTTTCCATTTTTTCCTTCTGTTCTTTTTTCTTGTTCTTTCTCCTTCCCATTTGATCATTTTCTTCCTATTTCACAGTATGTATTGCACATTGTGGTCCTTATTTACCCCAGAGAAACCACGCAGTGTGTGTATTATTATTACTGGAAGTCAAACTAAGGACCTTGTGCTCGCCAGGCGCTTGTGCACTGAGCTATATCCCTGGCCCACCATGCAATATTTAAATGTGTGTCTGACTTACTTTGCTTAAGGATATGGTCTCAAGGTGCACTTTTGAATTGCTGTGGGGTGCACGCTGTTTCTATATGCAGCCCTTTTGTCATGCCCTTCCCCATGTCCCTTGTTTGTTATAACAGTCTTAGTTTCTTTCCTCAGATTCTGAAGTTCCTGCTCAGATCTCTGAGGATTTGGAGCTTCACTTGGGAGCCCTCTTTGCCCAGATGCTGGAGGCTGGGACAACAGAGGACTTGGCCCTGGTGATGCAGTCTGTGCTGCAGGGACTGGATGTTGGCTGTGCGTGGAGGGCAGACCCACAGGTAGGTAGCTTCTTTTTCCCACGTAGAGGCCCAGGGTAGCATGTGCTGCAGTGGGAATGCTTTTTGGAGTTCTGTGTTATCCCTTAAACTAAAATTCACACTGGCAGGATAGAGGCCATATAGGACCCATGAGAAGAGTGGCTCTGTGTACCCTGGTCCGGAGCAGTATTTATAAATGTCTGTTCTTATTACATGAGATTTTAAGTATTGCATAGTCACAGTACTGACTCTTGTAAAAGTTGATGCCTGATTCTCTACCACACTTTGAAAACTTGTGTTGAATTTGGTTGCATAGCTACAGGCCAGTGTTTGAGTACCGTGGGGATACACAAGCCTGTGTTGTTTCCTTGTAGTTCCTGAAAAAATCTGTTTTCGTACTGTGAGGATTGCTTGTGCCTGCAGCCACAGACCCTGTTCATGTTCTTTCCACCCCACAAATGTCTTTTTAAAAATTATTTTGAGTCATAGTTTTATTATGGAGTTAAGGTTGGCCTTATATTCACTGTGTAGCCTAGTTTGGCCTCTAACATGCAGCGATCTTCCTGCCTCAGCCTCTTGTGTTCTGGGATTGCAGATGTACGTTCGTGATTGCCATGAGTGTCTAATTCATGGTCACAGATGATATCCTGGGGCTGGGCTTGGATTTGGATGGGAAGAAAGGTGGTTGAGGATCCATGTTCAGAGTGGGGCCAGGTGTTTGTTGATGGGGTGCTTAGCACAAGCCTAGCCTTCCTTCTGGTTTAAAGTCTTTACCTACAACTGTAGTGCCTCATTCCAGCTCTTCCTGTCTGTGAGCACATGTTCTTGCTCAGTGAAGCAAGAAGCTTTACTGCCATGGAAGCTGATTGGCATCCTCAGCAGGGCATCATGGCAAGGTGTGATTACACTCCTTGTGGAGTGTGGTGGGCTGGTCCATTCACACACGTGAGGCACCTCTGAAAATACTTGCTGACCAGAGAATGGCTCTTCTTTACTGCCTCCCAGATTGTGCGCTGATATGAAGATGCCACTTGCCCTCAGGACTCCGCCTTCCTTGTCCTCAACGTTGGGGTTCCTGGGCTCTTTCACCAGCACCAGTGAATGGCCAATCCCTGGAGTTCTAAGGAGGGCTGCTACTAAAATTTTCACTTTTGTTTCAGGCTGTTTTATCTGCCATTAAGTTGCTCAAGTTGCTACTGAGCTGCCCGCTCAGTGGAGAGAAAGCAAGTTTGTTGTGGCGTGCCTGCCCACAGATTGTCACGGCTCTGACGGTGAGTGGCCTCTTGAGACACGCAGTCCGGCTCATCCCTCTTCTTTTCTGTGAAGACAAAAGCCAGCTGTTTGCGCTCTGCTGTTCTCCTATATAGGGCAGAACATTTCTGGGACTATCTTAGAGGTGGCAATCAACAGAATGCCCAGCTCGTGTGTCAGCATACATTGGTGTCAGCTGGCAGCCATGGCACAGAGATGGTGCAGAGAGATGTCACAGTGCTAGAAAGCCTTCGGCAGATGCTGGTAATAGAAACAAAGTGACAAGTGAGGCTGCTGTGGAAGCTGTGTACTTGGAGGGGTAAGGAGGAATCTTGGGGCTTTCTGTCCCCACAGAATGTTATAGTCAGTTTGATACATTCATTAATTTGGAGGGGTGTGTGTGAGTGTGTGTGTAAGGCCTATGGTATAGTGAGAGGACACACTATAGATTGGGGTAGTCATATTGCAGGCAGGTTATTATACTGTCCTTTCTGTGTATTGAATATTGTGTCTAGTAGCCACATGGTTTTGTTTCACTAGAACATAAATCTGCTGAAGATTGGGCTGGTCTGGGTGTTCTACCCTCTGATGAGCTTGACCAGAGCATTCTCAACATGGATATAAAGCAACACTGTCTACCATTGTCCCCAACCTGGCTCTAGTTTTCTGTTGACAAGAGGATTGTCCTGGATCAGTATGTTTCTAGAGCAAAATGGTCTAAAGAATCAACTAAATGCTCTGGTGTTGTTTTCTTCCCATGTTGTTTTCCTGAAATCTACCTCACTGGCTGAAATATGTCATTATGCCCATCTGCAGGAACTGCTGAGTTGGGTAGGGCCATGCTGGTGTCCAAGACTCATACGTGCTCACAGTGGTGGTGGCGGCACACAGGAGGCCATGCTGCTGTGCACCAGGCTAACCTGATTAGGTGCTTCTCATGGGTGTGGCAAGTGGTTGGCTCAGCCAGGACACTCAGCAGGAAGGTGGGGACTGTCACACTCCAGGATCCAATAGGCTTAGGGTTAGGAAGGAGCCCCAAGTGTATTCTGCCGCGTGACCTACATCTGTCTTTTGAGCTATCTTTGTTTTCTTGAGTTTGTTACATTTGTGTTCTGGAATAATAATTACCTTTAGCTGGATCTGATTTCTAAGAAATTCAACCAGTGATGTTTAGTTATAGACATGTGAAACTGATGATCTTTTTTGGGAGACTACTGTTATGTACATCTGATGTGCAGTTTTCTTGTGAGAAAATGAATGTGTCAGGTTCTTTACAGAAAACCTTTTTCTGTATGACTGATGAATTCAGCAAAAAAATACGGCCGAGTGGCCGAGTCCACAGTGTAGTTTGGTCGCTGGCCACCTGTCTCTGTCCCCTGTGCTCAGTACTGTTTTCTCACTTTGAGAATCCTTTTTGTTCTCTTTCTTTGCCCACCTTGCCCTGTAGCTGCAGAACCGGGAGGCTTGTGAGGATCAGCCTGTGGCACTTGCACGGGTCATACCTATTCTTGATGTCCTGGCTGCCCTGCTGCGGCAGGGGGAGGACTCCATCAGCAACCCGCACCATGTTAGCCTGGCTTTCAGCATCCTGCTGACTGTCCCCCTGGACCACCTGAGACCACCAGAGTATGGGAGTGTCTTCTTGAGGATGCACAACTTGCTCTTCTCTGTGCTGCAGTGCCATCCCAAGGTGAGGGGAAGGAGCTTCCTTTCAGGGTAGCAGGGTAATGCTTATTTTTTTGTACCGGGGATCAAACTCAGGGCTTTGCTCTTGCCAGGCAGGCCCTTATACAGCTGAGCTATGTCCCCAGGCAGCAGTAGAATGGTTTACTGTTGGAGGAAAATAAAAATAATGACTTGGTAAGTGGACTTTTTTGTTCCAATAATTTCCATGACCAAAGTGTGTTCTCAGGTACAAAACGCTTGATCTTTACTCAGCCATTTTGAGTTCTTTTCAATTTGGTCTGATATTTTGGTGTTTGTGTACTAGCTCTTTTTTTTTTTTTTTTTCCAAAGTTTTATTGATAAACAGATAGCAATGAGGCAGTTTCAAATCAAATCGGAAGTACAGTTTCAACAAATAATACACTGCATATATTCTTCTTAGTGGTTAATTGCTGTACAAGATGCAGACTTGTGATCCTATTTACAAACACCATTAGAACAAATCATTCTATTCATTAAGAGAATGCAACTATATATCTATCCCAACCACTTTGAATACACAGATAAAAAATGGACATTCATCAGTATACCCCATTTTTTCTAAGTTCCGTTATTGAATATTATAGGTGTGTAAACTCAGCAAAATATTCTAAAAGAGTCCAGTAGCCCATAATAGCATTGGGTCTTCTGTTTAACTGGCAATGTCAGAAATTATTGACCTGAGTCCCCCACAGCTCAACATGTGTACTAGCTCTTAAAGAGGCCCGTTGTGCTGCCAGCAACATTAGGTCCAAGTCACAGCTGCTAGCCTGTCAGGCATGCCTGGAGGACAGATGAGGAGGCCCGCACCTCCGCTGGATGCCTAACAGGATAATCAGCAGCTGGTGCTGTGCTGACCATGTCACAAGCTTTAACTGACTAAAGTCTTCATGATGACCTTTTGGTATCTTGAGTTTACAGATGAGAAAACTGAGGCAAACACACACAAAAGCTAGATGATTTGTCCAAGTCTCATGAAGAATTAGTAGGAAGTCTGGGCCCAGATTGTTGTGATTTTCATCAATACAGTAGTAAAAGATTAAGAGAGATTTTGAGGAATGTGTGATGAATCTCTGGAATACTTTTATAAAAGTAGCCTTTTTCTTTCTAAACGTGCTGCAGAAAGTCAGTAATTTGACATGAAACATGTGGAACGATGCTATCAGTAATTGTTTTGGATTAATTATACCAAAGAGAACAGTTCCAATATTTGCCGAAATTTAACTCTGTGGTAGAAGGCTTGCATAGCAGGCATGACTTTTATCCCTAACACTACAGAAAAAAGGAGGAGAAATTAACACTTGATAGCTATTTGTTCATTCCAAGAGTTAGATTAGCAGTAGGCTGTAGGATATTCAGTGATTCCTGCATTGTCCAGCACAGTGACCACTGACTTTATTTTTGGATGCTTGATGTGTTGCCAGGATGACTTCAAATTGACTATTAAAGTCTTAATTTTTATTTTTTGTCCTTTTTTGACAAAAAACACTAGGCAGTTTAGGCTGACCTTGAACTCACTTCGTAGCCTGGTCCGTTCTCAAACTCAGTGATCCTCCTGAGTGCTAGTATTATAGGCATGAGTATGCCTCGCCTTGAATTTTTTTTTTTTTTTCGGAACTGGGGATTGAACTCGGGCCCTTGTGCTTGCCAAGGAAGTGCTTATTCTACTGAGCCCTCTCCTTGGCCCTTGGCCCTGAATTCTTAACTAATTTAAAGTGAAGTAGTCACAAGGTTGTGACTGCTCAGTTGGACAGTATGTGGTGCATCCTGACTTGAGGTAATTGGATATTAAAGAAGTGTGTTTTGTCATACGAGAAATTTATATTAGTATTGAGAAGTGATATCCCCATTTGAAGTGAATTTTTTAGTAATTTTTCTATGCCAGTTCTCTTTACCTAACTTGGCTACTATCACTGCTTTATGATTTATTTCTGTATACTTCCAAGATGGAGAAGAACCAGCTTAGAGGAGAGCACAGATTCAGCCAGTCCTTAAACAAGGGTCTCGTCACGGGTTCTGAAAATTGTACTGCATAAAACCCCTAGCCTAGTGGTAGTGAGCCCTTGGCACATGTGCAGCAGCGGACTGTTTGTGTCATTGAAAGCTCTGAAAGGTTTGCCATCAGTGCCCTATCTCACATTTTTAAAACAAGAGTTGAGCCAGTTCAAGGTGGGCGAGTGGTCACCAGAAAATGAGGTGAGAGAAGCCTGCCCCGGGCTGCCATGAGCACACCTATTTTGAGTGTCCTGATGGCACAATGAAGAAGGAAACAAGCAGATAAACTTGATCATTCTTGCACATTTTTTATATTTTTATGTCTTATTTCTTTCAGGTAATGCTGAAAGCTATCCCATCTTTCGTGAACTGTTTCAATAGACTGGTATTTTCAGTGATGCATGGAGGGCGGCAGAAAGACAAAGGTAAGGCAGAGGCACAGTATCGGGTCCAGTTTGAATGTGTTGATCATGCAGTGTTTTTGAAGATCTCACAAGTTCACTGAAGATGAAGCTATTCCTCTGAGTTTACATTAGAGAAATATTCCCATCATCAGTGAATACTGAAGATCATTTTTAAAAAATTTTCAAGCTGTCACATTTTATTATATCTATGATAGTGGCTGCAGTTGACATCTTTAAACCTTTTCTGGAAAAAGAAATCAAGATTTAGGAAGTTTTGTTGAACACAGCATACATAGGGATATAAAAATGACTAAAACTGTATTCTCACCTTTAAGGAGTTTATAGGTTAGTGGGGGACAAAAGGAAGAGGTGTTACAGAACTTTCTCATTTTATAGAGGATGCGACCCTGTACCTGGTTATCAACAAGGTCATAACCTTAGGAAGGTTGTGTTTGTTTATCAGAGACACACAAATTGCCTTATGGCAAAAGCAAATGTGTACACAAAGAATTATTGTGCCTTGAAGTATGTTGATTCTTGCTGTGTTTTTAATTGAGATTCTCATTTGAACATGTTGTATGAAAGTGAGTCTTTTCCATTGCTTACTTTGGTAATTGTGCTACACATGTGCCAAGCGTGAGTGTAAGGTGCCTGTGGGATGCACTGGGATCACAGATGAAGTTGTGAGTTGATTTGGAGTGTGTCAAGGAACACCTCTGACAGTAGCCAGCATGACCAGGAATATATGAGTCAGCCTCCACTTCTGTCTGTCTTGTGCTTTTTCTATGGGATTAGTGAGATTCTTTTAACCAATCATCTTGGGGAAAAAAAAAAAAAAAAAAAAAAAAGGCCTGTGATCATGGACAGTGGTTCCCCAGGTATTCTGCCTGGTTGGGGACCCAGCAGTGGCATAGTGACATGTGTCATGTGTTGAACATGTGTTGACTTGTACTTTGAGCAAGTGTTAACTGTGCATCTGCTGAGGATCAGGGCTGGCAAATAAGTCCCCTCTCCTGGGCCAGCCTTAGCCTATTCCTTGTTCAGGTCTCTGATATCACTGAAGCATCCTAAGGACATGGTTCTGACAGAGATAATTGGCCTGGACAGGAGGTGGACAGAACAGGCCTTCGCCTTACTGAGCAGTGTGAAGTGGTCTGGCTGTGTGCTGCTGCCACAGGCTAATCCTCTGTCCTGAGGCCAGACAGGAGCACAGGCTCCATTCTACCTGTGATGTGTTTATTCAACCCACTTGCTCATTTCTGTCTACCAAGACTGAACTCTAGTGGACTCAACCCAGCAGGACTTTCAACTGTTTTTTCTCTTTTTTTATTCTTTTTAAAAATTTATTCCCTTTTTATTGGCATCTAATGCCAATAATTTTCCTTTTTTTTCCTGTATTTAGGACAGGGTCTACAGGGTCTTATTATGTAGATTGTACACATAGTGATTCTCCAGTTTTCAGCCTTGCAAGTGCTGGGATTACAGGTGCGTGTCATGCCCAGTTATTATTTTTTTCCAATAATGAAATTTTAAAATGATATTTTAATGGTTATATGTGAAGTCAAGTGACTACAGCAGCTAATGCTGGTAACTTGTTTGTGAATAGCTTGTATGTTGAGCAGCCTGAGAAGAGAAGGAACAGCATGCCTTAGACACGGAAGTACGTTTCTTCATGATAGGGAGTGGCCTTCAGAATGCCTCACAGGTGTTAATCACTTACACAGTGTCATAGGGATTGCACTGATGTAAGACAACTACATCCATAAAGGGTGTTTGTATACTTCGTCCAAGGTCTGCTAAAAATGTATAGCATTTACCAAATATCAGATATGTTAAAGTATAACATATATAGAGATAGATATAGATGTCTCCATATATCTACATCTGTTTATCTAGTGATACCTGTTGAGAGTGTATACAGTGTAATGATTTCTCACAGTTTAGCGTACATGTGAAGCAACACTGCAGTCACAGCACAGGACATTTCTGTTGCGAGGTCCCTTGGCCTCTCTCCAATCTGTTCCCTCCTTGGGCCCAATCCCAGGCAGCCCCTGATCTTTGCATCACTGGGTTTGCTTCTGTCTTCTAGACTGACAGAAGTGGACCTGCCTCAGTGCTAAGTGATGGAGGGAAAACACTCTGGCCTGGGAAGGAGTCCTCCAGCTCTCCCATCTGAGGACAGGCTCTCCCAAGTTCTTAGAAGGCCTCACAGGTCCTTTCAGAAATTTTCCAAGACACAGACATTATCTGGGTGCCTTAAATGATGTCAGTAGACCGTTGATAGCAAGATATATTGATGAACTCCTGTAATCCTAGTACTTTGGAGGCTAAGGCAACTAAATATTTTCCTTTTAAGTAATTTTCCATTTTTAACCTGCCTTATAGAAAACCATCGCTCTTTTTTTTTTTTTAACCCGTCTTTTTTTTTTTAATCATCTTTTAAGATAAAATAGCTGGACTTGCTTAGCATATACCATATTCAGTTCTTAGCACTGCAAAAGCAAACAATAGCAACTTAAAAACCCAGTACCATTCCAATATTCTTTTTTTTAAATCCTGAAAATCTTGATTTTTTTTCCTAGTTGGATCCCTAAAAATCTTATGAATTCTTGAGTATGTTAAGGGTTCTTCCTTTTTATGTAGGCAATTGGACATGATGTTTTTCTTAATCTCTCTGCAAAGCAAGCCAATTAAGGGTCTAGGAAAAGTGGATGGCTTAAGTGTCACATTATAGGTGTAAGATGAGAGGGACACTGCAGCATTTATGAACTAACCAGTTGGGAACCTTTGCCTCTGCAGGGAGCATGGATGACTTGCCAGTGGTCCTCGACTGCGCACGCCTGGTGGAGAGGATGTACAGCCACATTGCCACCCGAGCTGAGGAGTTCGCTGTGTTTTCTCCCTTTATGGTGGCCCAGTATGTGACAGAGGCACAGAAGGTACAATCCTGGATTTTCTGTCAGGCTCTGAGCATGGCTTTGCATCAAAATGGCAGGTGACCTCAGGCCTGTTGCCCTCACTCTTGTGCTTGATGGCGTGTGCGAGCAGTGTCCTATGGGGCTGTGGTCGGGACTGGGGCAGGTTGTGGTTGTGCAAAGGCTCAGCAGAGCCTCACAAATGAGCTGCTCAAGACTTCTTAGTTCTCTCTGACTCCAGAACCGACTCCTGTCCTGAATAATCTGGGTGGTGATATGTCACTCAGAACCCAGAACAAGCGGTCTCCTGGACCAGGCTAATGGAGGTACAAAAGGGACCTGGATCTTGGTTTGGGTTCCTTTGCCATTAGCTCATGGGTCTGTTGTTCTTGAGACCCAGAGACACTTAGACACTTAAAGCAGGAGGCAAGTGGAGCTGCAGGTGACTTATTTCCAGTCAGTTTTGTTCTAATTACTCTAGCCTTTTGTCTTAAATATCTGGGTTATAAATTCATCATTTAAGAGTCATTTCACTTGAGGATGTCTATGCCTATTTTCAAAATTTTATGTCACTGGTGCTTATAGGGCTTAAAATTTGAGCTGTGTGAACCTTGACTTTAAGTATGGAAGACAGTGTGTTCAGAGAGGAACCATGGGTAAACAGTGAGTTTACATATGTCTGTTGATGTTGCTTTCTGCTTGTCTGTCAAAGCCTTTTTGCCAGTGCAATCCTGGTAGACACAGTGGTGAAGCCTCTGGTGAGCCTATTTGGGTAGAGGTGTCAGCCTTTCTCTAGAGACATTTGGCTAAATGGACTTGCTCGGAAGGCCTCCATCCCTGTTTTTGGCTAAACCTTAACTGCTGACTACTTTTTCCATCCCACTGGCCCTGCTGACCTTAGCCAGTAGAGTTGCCTGTTTTTTGGGGTGTGTGATTGGCTCTGCAGGAAATAGCCTGGACATGAGTGTACAGCTGGGTTATCAACTGTCCTAGCGGGGAGAGACATGGAACACAAGAAGACCCCTCAAATTGTCTGTTGGGTGACATGTGGACTTGGAGTTTGGTTTCCTTGCAGTTGTTCAGCATTTTTATAGAATCCTGTTTTGGTTTTTTTGCAACAAGGTCTCACTTTGCAGTGCAGACTGATTTAAACTCATTATGTCGCCCATGCTACTCACAGTGATCCTCCTGTCTCTGCTTCCCAACTGCTGAGATATCAGCGTGTGCTACCAGGCCCAGCTGCATTTTTTATAGAATCTTGATGTTTCCCAAGCACTTGATTTGTTACAGTGTAAGCATTTGGTGAAAGAAAAGCTGGCATTATTTTGTTACTGAAGAAAGAAATACAGGGGCTGGGGAGATGGCTCAGTGGTCTAAAGCACCTACTTAGAACAAGCTTAGCAAAGCACAAGGGACCGCGGTTCAATCCCCCAGCACCACAT